TTCAGCAGGGCTGGGATTTCGAATAGCAGCGCTGAGCAGAAAGTTCACTGCATTACAGTCCAAGCTCTCTCCTGTGACTTTGCGAGTGGCTAAGTATTGAATTCAACTTTCTGATCTCGGGGAGTGTCTCTAAACACACGGGTATTGTGCTGGAATGATTTGAAGCATGCATATGTACCATTTCGAGTAAGACCAGTGGAGACATGGCTTTAGCCGGGCGCTTGGGCTGAACAAAAAACTCTTTTCAGAATTCTTTGCCTTCACACCAGTTTGGTAATGGAAACAGATTATGGGATTCTGTTCCTTGGTACTTCATTTCTATACATTTATGTTTTGTCTTTTGGATTATTGATGTCCACCGGCTTGTTTTCTAAGCAATATAGTGCTCTCCCTGGTAAGCTCAGTAATTGAAAGTCTTTTGTGCTTTGTAGGTTGGCTTTTAAATAGGTCAAAATCAGCAGGAGAGCTTCATAGCCAGAGCAATTAGGATTTTAACCCTTTATCCTACATGCCTTATAGACAGTAGACTATAGTATAAGTGGACTAATAGGCTGCTGTGTGCCATGGGCAGCCACTGAAAGCCAGAGGTTTCTAGTTCCCGGCTTACAACTGAGATCTTCCTGTAGTGGAAAATTACTGAATTATGGTGTGCAAGGAGAGAGGGTCAGCTTGGGGCTGGGCCAGCAAGACGGTGTTGTTGAAGAGATCTTTTTCAGTAGCAGTCGCATGGTGCTGCCAGGTCAGTGGTTTGGGGCATTGGCTGGGCTCTGATTTAGAAGGCAATTACACACCTCTGAAGACCAGTACTCCAAAGCATGTGAAAAGAGGTGAGAAGTTTAAAATATTCCTGACATGCTCCTCCTCCACCTGCTTTTCCTATTGAAAAGAAATTATGGAGAATACCTATGTAAGAATTATTTGGTGCTGTTGGTAACTATTTGCTCTGGACTGGTATGTTGTTCCTTTGCAATCTTTTTGTTGTGTGCAGTAGCAGATAGAAAAGGCAGCAGGAAAAAAGTTGATCATCGGAGGTTAATTGTAATTTAAAACAGGATTTGTGTTGTTAATGGAGCTGTTTAACAGAAACAGATTTGTACAAACAACCCTTCCCCCACCTTTTGCTTGTGCGATCTTCTTGTTTACAGTAATCTGCTTCTCTGGGATTACCTCTCTCTTAACAGAGACTCTAAGCAATCCTCCTTTTACCAGTAGCTTCCTACCTGATACAGGAAAGACCCTGTTACTCCAGCCCCTTTGCTGGACATGGGGAAGTACGTTAGTGGCATCTGTGCAAAAGGGAAGCCAGAAAGCAATTTTCTTTCATTGCTACTTCCAGCTTCAGAATATCAGATGAGGCTTTAAAGCAGCAGAGAACTATTATTTCTGTATAATTATTGCCTACATTGATTGGGATGCTGCTGATTTAGGCACAAGTCAATGATTTGCTTTGTAGATCTATCAGTAGATGAAATATATACCACGGTGCTTACAAATGCATGTACTTTTGTTTGTAAATGCATGTGGTTGCATCTAACCAACAACTTTACGACATTGCTGTGGTGTTTATGGAAGATAAAGTGCTAATTCTAAGCCACTTAATGAGTTTACTGAGCTGTTTTAAATATGGTAACTTCAAGGGATTGCTCGAGCAGATAGACGTTCCTCTGCCCCAACAAAACTAACCGTGCTCCAGCTGATCTGCAACAAAACAAAACGTTCAAAGCTGACTAGTTAAAAGAGCAATGAAGCAGAATAGATGCTACCAGAAGATTTAACTTGCGAGATGGGATGTGGAGGCGTGGACTACAGTTGCTGTGTGTACCTGCCTTTGCCCTCACCCTCTCCCCAAAGGCTGTTCGGAGGCATTCGCGGAAGGTGCCTCATGCTCTCCCACTGTCTTTACCTGTCCGGGTCTCATTAAGCTCGTTGCAGGAGAGGAAGAGGAGGGGCTTCTTTCTTTCTGGAAAGGTCACCTTTGCCACCTCTGCGGAGCGGCCTCTCCCGAGTGCCGGCCCCTCCTAATCTCCTTACAGGAGGCCACGCCATGGCAACACGCACCCGGGAGCATCCTCGTGTCACCCGTGGGGCCGGGTGGGAGCACAGCTGACAAGGAGAGAGATTTCTTTACCAGTGCGGCTGTGACTTTTCTTCTTGCCCCAGCGTATCTGCCTGGCATGATGCTCGTCTGAAATTTGTAACCTAAGGCTTGAGGAAGAACCCCTCCTGGATTTTTGTGCCTTTCTTCCTCTCCCGGCAGGATTTATTGTCTGAGATGTAGCCCAGAGAACGAAGTTTGAAAGGAAGGGCTGTGACATGTGGCACCGCTATGATTTGGGGATGCACTGCTAAGTGGCTGTACAATTGTTTCATGTAGGTGTGCTTGATTTGTCTTACTCCAAGTGCAGCCTCCGCTTAACAGGCATTTATAAAATCTCTTTTTCTTTCTCCTTTATTTGGTAATTATTTTTCTTTCCCTTCTCTTCCCCCTCTTCATGACCACTCCATGCTTTCCTTCGCTGACAAGGAGCTAAGGCGGGAGTTGGCTGTAGGCTCTCAGCCAGCTCCCCTGCATCATGCACCAAAGTACTTTGTTAGGACTGGAATTGCTGAGAGTTTGGGATGGGGACAGAAGCCAAATGACCTCAGCAGTGCTTTCTTGAGAGGAGAAATTAGAGAGGATTTTGCAGAGATGATATTAAAGTGGTGTATTGTGGTGTGTTTATTTTAGACTTGCCCTACCTTAACTGCAGCAAGTGTTCAATTATACATGGCTGAGGTTTTAGGTTTGCGTTGGTACAGCTGCTGCTGTAACCTGTTATAACAAAGCATGCACAGCGCAGCCAACGCGTTTGTACCAGTGCTGCTGTTTTGCATTTGAAATCTGTGTCTTTGTAATATCCCTCTGATGAAAGGTTTTTGCTGCCTGCACTTAGGTCATTCAATATATTAAATGGGCACAAAATTCTCCCTTACTGTTTAATAAATCTTATCGTACATGAATCTACTAGAATACCTTCAGGATTTCATTTTGTACAAAAGAGCAGTCAGATGAACTCTGCTTGATGCTTTACATGTATCCTTTGTGATACCCAAGTTTTTGTTAAGCAGCCTTAGAAGTACTGAAGACGCCTTTGCCAAATGTTTTTTTGTTTTTTTTTTCCTTTCTGTTCCCCCATAGGATTGCTCAAGGGTAGGAGGAATTTTATTTTGCTAAGGTTACAAAATATGAGGATTTTTTTGTATAAGATATAGGAGGGAAGTATATAAAAAAACTACTTATTTTTCAAAATTAAGGAAGCTGTTAGATGTAGCTGTGCTTTTCACTCCTCCATAAATACATTCTGTAAACATTTTCCGTTTGATAGTGTGCCTTGATACTGGGAATTGAATACAAGAGGAACTACTGTGAGGATAAACACAGGTGAGAAGGCATCATTTCAGAGCATTGCTTTTCTCTGAGTAATGTATAGACAACTGATGCCTTTCTATTTTCACATCCGTTCTTTGTGCTCAGTCACACGTGCTGGATGTGCAGCCATATTCATGGGTCACTGAACAGGCATAGGGACCAGCACGAGCTTCAATATCTTAACAAAATCTAGACCTGCCAGGTAAACAGCTCCTTTTCTGCTAAGCGGGGACTCTGTGCTCTTCCTCCTTGTTGGGCATCTATGAAAGCTTTGACTGAGTTCCAGCTAGAGGAAAACTTAAGGTCTGTGTGCATATAGTGTTTACCTTTTGAAGCAGAAATGCTAGTTGTGCCTAAAGTATCATATGACTTTATTGCAGGAGCTTGTAGTCCAGGTGTCAGTTTGGAGTTAGAAGATGCGCAGGTAAAGCCATTGTCACCTATAAATTGAGCACATTTGATAGTGCTGTTTGGCAGCAGAACTCCCTACTATGTACGAATGTTGCATTAAATTGAATTGGGAGAATACAGAAAGTGTTAGAGCACGTTTTATAATGTTGCTGTTGGTTGCAAAAAGCTACAGCATAGTGGAGGGATATGTCTTTGAGAAGTATTCGGGAACTGGTGGGGCAAAGAGAAGACTGCCTTGATAAAAAGGTGCTATGCATTTTGGAGATGCTAGCTCTGGTAGAGCTCAGGGATTTATAGGCCAGTCAACTGAAAAAGAGAAGCGGTATGTGTCAGTGAGGGGAAGTTAAAAGAGAATGGAGGTATCAAAAAAATGGGAAACTGTTAAAACTGGAAGAAGCAGCTGAAGAAAAAAATGCAAAATTTAAATGTAGGTAACTGGCTTGAGCATTGTGAAGTGGGAAATAATTTGCATATTTGGCTTTAGTGTAAAGGCTTTGCGTGTTAAGAAAAATCAAGTGTGTTGCAGGGGGATCATCTGCTCTAATGAGAGTAGCTATCATTCTGCATTGGTTTAGAGATTGAGAGATTGGTGTGCTTTTTGCTGTTAATACACAACATTTATCTAGTAATCTAGATGGTAGTAAATATTTTCAGTAATATATCCAAACCTATCTGTGGGGTTTCTTTAAATTTCGGCAGTTCAGTTCTGAACTTTTTGGTTTACTGTTCTTTCACTGATGGCTCAGCACAATGGGCTTCCTGGGCTTGTGTAGGTGGATATTTCTTTAGGAGTCTGGGATTACTGGCCTCATGTTATTTTCATAACGCTTACAGACTAATTGTAGAAGTTGTTCTGAATAAACAGCAACAAGTTGAAGCTTTCTCTGGGATCTTGCCAACTCTTTTGGTAATTGTGAGAAAAATAATGTTTCCTTTCCCACTTCTTCTCCTGCAGATCACGTGGATTGCCAAAACTGAAGGAGTCCCGTTCCCATGAGTCTTTACTGAGTCCAGGCAGCGCTGTGGAGGCCCTGGATCTTGGGTCAGAAGAAAAAGTCTTTGTCAAACCACTTCACAGCAGTATCCTTGGACAAGACTTCTGCTTTGAGGTAAAGAACGCTCTCCAAACACGCAGCCGATTATATGCTGTCTGAACCCTTGCAGTACGCTGTTCTGTGACTTTGTAATTGGAGAACAGATCAGCAGCCACTGCTATCCTGAGGTTTGGGTGGGGGCTGTCTAACCAGCATGAGATTTTGAAGTCCTTGGGGCTAATGGCATCAATCACTCAATGGAGAGAAATCTTTTTCAATTACCGTGTCTTCTAATTGAAAAATCTCTTTAATTTGATAATATCTAAGCCTTTGTAGTTTGCATGCAAATTTATGGCTGAAACATACTATTGTTCATAAGCTGTGTATTCATCCTCTTCAAATTCACCTAAAATTAAATTTAGAAAATATGCCGTAACTGAGAAATGTGATTTCCAGTCAGAGCCCCCTTCCATTCACTCAGCCCGTTTGCCCGTTGCTAAAGGAGAAGCTTCAGTAATTGCGGACGTGTCCGTTGCACCATGGAGCGGGATGCAAAGATCCTCCTCTTGTTTCAGCACAGGCTGCAGCGCAGCACCGTGTGGCTCCGAGCTTTGCTTCAGACGCAGACTGACTGTGTGAGCGCAGTCCTTTACCTTGCAGGACCAACAGCGTATTCGTGTGTGCTATTTGGATGCATCTTAAGTCCATCGTAATCTGTCGTGGCAGGGGGGGGGGGCAGTCTGTCTTCAGCAGGATTAGTCAGATGTGTCTGAACTTCTGGAACAAAGATCTGTTTACAACCTGGAAAACTGCTCAGGCAGAAAACCAGCGTATCAGGCCCTTCTCCCTCGGGATGTATCCAGGAACTGTTCCTGTTCGCGTTGGTCTCATTCTTCTGGTTGGAAGCACTTTCCAGCTTGCTTAGGTTTGGGGAGTTGAGTGAAAAAACTGGCAGCAACTTAGCTCTGAGGCTCTTGCCTCAAACTGCTTTTTAATTGTGTGCACAAATGAATGGAAAGAGTAAATGAAGCTTGTCAGGCCACGTAAAAGTGAAAGAAACCAAGATGGTTCCCTCCTGCGTGAAAGCAGAGTTGTATATGGCTGGATTAGAGCACAACTCCTTTGGTTTGATTTAGACCGTTGCTGTATATATGGACCCTTGGAAATATTTTGTATTTACTGAAGACACCATTTCCAGTGTGTTTTGCCTGATATTAATACATTGTTAGTTCTGTCTGTCTTTACGCTGTTAGTAACCAAATCATCTGCCTCTGGGACTTCACAGGGAAAGCTGCAAGCATTTAATAGCGATGGATCAATTAACAAGTGTTTAAGAAAAATAAATTAACTGGTTGATTAAAGCCCTGTTTAAAAGTCTTTAAGAAAGCCTCTGGAGCTCCTCATGTGTTTCCGTAGTTTTATATTAATTTGAACTGACTTTTTTTTCTCTCTACATTTTGTGGGCCTTTTAACCTCTCTGCCTTCTAGGCTTTCATATTGTTTTCCTGCCTTTTACATATTTATTTTGTTGCTCAAGCATTGCTTATCTTCTTCCTTGCTTTTTGCAGCCTCTTACATGTCTCCTAGGCTTGTCTGAACTCAGCCTGTCATTTATATGTTCCAGGTAACCTACTCCAGCGGCAGTAAATGCTTCAGCTGTTCCTCTGCAGCAGAGAGGGACAAGTGGATGGAAAACCTACGCAGAACAGTGCAGCCAAATAAGGTAATAGAAACTGTGGAAATAAGATTACGGGGGGAATGGAGGTGGTATGATTGGATTTTAGTCCAGTGTACCAGGGCTTCCCGCGGATGCATGTGCAATTAATTTATTCTGGGGAGAAGTCCGCTTATCAGTGTATCAAAAGCTGCTGTGTACTATTCCAGTGAGTGCAGTAGGTCAAACCTTTAATGAATAAATACATGTCGGCCTGCTTCCTGATCCCTGCCCCAGTGCCTGCTTATGATGTTTCAGACTGGATTTCTGATGCCGTGAACCTCAGCAGGATGGGACATGGCTTCATAGGTTTCATGTTTTACTGTGGGGCCACAGTTTGGGGGCAGGGGGGAAACACACAAAAGGAGTTTGAGCCAGAGTGAGAAGGGGGGGGGGTCAAGTTATTGATTAGCTGGAAATATCTGATAAGTCACCTCCATAGTTGGCATACCGCCTTCGAGGAACAGGCTAACAGTGCTCTTGGAGTTATTCACAAGAGTAAACAACGCAGTGTGCCATGCCAGTCTAGCGGCTTTTGAGTGGCTCTTGTGCAGAGCGTTTGTTTTTTAAACCATTTCAAATACAGCTTTTTGAGAAGAAAAATGTTCTAGTCCCCACCTTTGACATACAAAAGACAGCCCTTTGCCTCTGCTTTGGAAAATGTCTGATTTTCTAGAGATTCTGATTCTGACAGTCAGAGAATCTGATTCTGAATTCTGATTCTGTCCCTGCCTTGGACACAAAAGGCAGCCCTTTGCTGCTGCTTTAGAAGAGAAAATGTTCAATTTTTAGGGATTCTGAATCAAAGCTGAGCTCTTTCTTCTGCACAGGACAACTGCCGTCGAGCTGAAAATGTACTCCGTCTCTGGATCATTGAGGCAAAGGACCTGGCCCCCAAGAAGAAATACTTCTGTGAGCTGTGCCTTGATGACACTCTCTTTGCCCGCACCACCAGCAAAACAAAAGCAGACAACATTTTCTGGGGAGAGCACTTTGAGTTCTATGGTCTCCCACCTCTTCACAGCATCACAGTTCACATCTACAAGGATGTGGAGAAGAAGAAGAAGAAGGACAAGAACAATTACGTAGGCCTGGTCAACATTCCCATGGCCAGTGTAACTGGTCGCCAGTTTGTGGAAAAATGGTACCCAGTCAGCACACCTACACCCAACAAAGGGAAATCAGGGGGACCTTCCATTCGGATAAAGTCCCGCTATCAGACCATCACCATCTTGCCCATGGAGCAATACAAAGAATTTGCAGAGTTTGTTACCAGCAACTACACTATGCTGTGCTCTGTGCTGGAACCTGTGATCAGCGTGAGGAATAAGGAAGAGATGGCTTGTGCTTTGGTGCACATTCTTCAGAGCACTGGGAGAGCTAAGGTAAGAACGGGCGGCTCCTGTCAAAACAACTCCCTCTCGCTGCTCATAGGTGATGTCTTTTCAGCTAGAAAGTAGGAAGCCTGGGCTGGCATGACCATAAGCAACAGCAGAAGGTGCCTGATGGGATAAGGCGGAGAAAAGCGTCTCAAAAGTATTTGAAAAGACTTGGGCAATTGTGTCTACCAGGAAGGCATGTAGACAGGCAACAATGATTAAGAGTTCATACAAAGATTAATGGTGCCGTGTCCAAAGTATAAGCGGGAGGACTATATAACTTCCTGTTATTCTGAAAAGTTAGGGCCTGCAATTGAGTGTTCAGGAACCTTTTCTGGATTTCTAAAATCAGAATACAGAGTAAGAAATAAGTAAGCAAGTGATTAGGAAACCAGAGAATTACTTGTATAAATAAGTCTCTGATCCAATGAGTAGCAGGGTGCCATTGTTGATTCAGTGCTAAGTCAGCTAATTAATGCTAACATTGATTTGGTCAGCATTTGAACAGCCATTTGGAGAATCTATGCTCAGTTAATGGTGATCCCACCTGCCCCAAGGATGTTATTAGGACTTCTGGGTGCATGCTGGTGGTTCTCTGTAAGGCAGCAATTGGAGTGAGCCTTGGTTTCTTCGAACAGATTGTGGGAGAATATCCTGTAGGTCTCGGGAAATTCTGAGAAGCATTAACAAGCATTGATTTATCTGGATGCTGCCTGCCAAGTGTGTGTGTGAGTAGTACCAAGCTGTAGCCAGCTTCTTCCAGTAATGCCAGCTAGAGCAAGTTAAGCGCAACCAAACACAAGTTAGAGGGCTGGAGATGTGGAAGGGTGGCCATAAGCAACATCCAAGGGACAGCCTAATTTAACTTTTATGTTTGCATAATCATATGCTACTCTCTGCTGTTCTGCCCTTGATGTACGTCTCTGAAAGGCTGGTACTCTGTTACAAAGTTGTTTGTCTGATCAAGAGAATCTGGTAGCTGGGATAGCTCCTGTAGGGTTGTGTTGAAATCCTGCTGGAAAGCAGGCTCTGGATTCCTGCAGTGCTGGCTGCAACGGGTAGATAAATTAGTGTTATAACTTTGCCTTCCTAGTGCCTGAACGTTTGAACCTCTGTTTACTGGAAGCGTTGAGCAGCGTAGGCTGCCATAACCTAAAGCTGCAGAGGGTACATTTCCAGGTCGCACTACGTTGGTGGGGATGCAGCTGGATGCTCCCAGTTTGTGCCAGGTGAAAATAATTCTCTCAGATTTTGCAGAAAAGAAACAGCAATAATGGATTGAGAACCAAGAGTACTAAATGTATTTTTTATCTGTATTTATCATATATAATTTGTTCAGCATATTTTACACTCATATGCTAGCAGTGCATTATGGCTTCTATAGTTAATGGGGTTATGAAACCTTACTACAGCACTCTTTGAACTGTTTGGAGGATGTTGCTGTTTGCAGCAGAACCAGCAAGTCACAGTTATCACTCAGCCCTAATTCAGAGTGGTGTTTTGTTTTGAGGGGTTCTTTTTTTTGGAACAATAAAAAAAAAAAAAAAGAAATATGCTTCCTCTCCTGGAGAACTTTACAGTGGCTGAAATTGGATCTTGCGAAATACTGAGTATTTCTTGTGAAATGCTGAGTGTCCTTGACTCACATAAAGTTATCACTTCAGGAAATAAGTATTACTGTAGAATTAGACCCTACATCAAGAGCTTATTCACTGTATCAAGACTTGCTGATAGTTCCTGCCTGGGCATTTGAATACAGTTCAAGTTAAGCCATATAGATCCACAGCAAGGATGTTAACTTTTTTCCCAAATCCTGAACCACTTTTGGTTTGTGAATTTAACTGATATAAGCCATTCTTCTTATTTAAATTTCACCAAGCTGTAAGAACTTGTGCCTAGCTTCCATCTTGGATTTTTAAATCCAAGTTTTTATGTCATATTCAGTATTAAAGGATAAATGTAATACCACTGTTTCTTTCAGCAGACAAACCCACTGATAAACAAACTGGTAAGGGTTTCTGTTCAGGTTCTAAACTGAAACACAAGCTTGGCTGTAAAGGTTTTCTTTTAGACACTTCTGCTTCTCCCTTTATAGTTTATGATCTATAACATTTTATAAATATGATAAACCCAAGAGGAGCCCTAGCTATTTCCTTGGCCCATGCAGACATGTAGCATCTGCACCTCTTGTCCCAAGCTGGGCAATTATTCCGGTAATCCTCTGGCTCCTCTGTTTATCTTTCCTTCTTGGCTTCTGCAGTTAGCCTGGCATGACTGAGTCTGGTTAAAATAACCTCTTGCCATTTGACCTTTTTCTTCAGGACTTCTTGACGGATTTGGTGATGTCTGAGGTAGATCGTTGTGGGGAGCATGATGTCTTGATCTTCAGGGAGAACACACTTGCTACCAAAGCTATTGAGGAATACCTGAAGTTGGTAGGGCAGAAGTATCTTCACGATGCACTAGGTAAGAAAGTGCCTGTCTGTCACCTGTTTGCATTGCAAGGGCTAACCCTGAACTGTCTGCAACGTGACTGAAGCCTTGTGCACTCAGGAACATGGGACAGGAAGGAACTGCCTCAGCAGTGGGCCCAGGTGTCTAGTATCTGGATAGCAAAATACATGCTGTCTTACTCTTGATGCCCTTCCTCCACCCAGAGGAGGACGCTCTTTGGTGCCTGCAGGAGTAGCACCCAAGGAAAGGCAAACTTGACTTGGTATAGCTGTGTCCCTCTTAAAGTTTGTATCACCACATTATGTTTCTCTGGGTAACCTTCTTTTGCATCTCTAGTTGTGCTGAAGAGGTATGATACTGCAATTGATTTGTGGGCAACGGTGATTGTTCCATCTGATGTACGAACAGGCTTAAAAAACAGGGTTTGACCCAAAGTTTAACAGAGGAAATTGAGACCAATACCTTGTGTTGTGGTGTCAGGAGTGAATGCGGTATCACATGCGATACAATTAGGTGGAGATTTCAGAAAGGGTTATGAATGCAAAGCATATATTTCACTAATCTCCTTTTATGTTAAAGAAGCTCCTGCAATCACTTTAAGCCAAAGTGCTACCACCTAGGGGGTTAGATATACTCAGGGGTATCTGGTTGACAACCCAAGGTCTCACCCACAAGTACATATTGCTGGGGCATCTCCAGTCAGTCTCTTTCACTTGCCGTTGTAGTTAACAGCAAATGTTAGCTGTGCTGTTAACAATTGTTAAGTGTGAGAATCCCACCTTAGTGCTGGGGTTGAATGCCAGTAGTACAAGAAAACTCATTTCCAGATGCTTCAGCTGCAACTGTTGGTAATGCTGGCATGTTCCAGAGTGACCCTTGGACTTGCTCAGCCCTTACCTTTGCCACGGAGCAATTAATTCGTAAACATTTGTGTTAACCTTTTAAACTGGCACCTTGCCCCAACAAAAATCCTCAGACAAACATGGCCAGAGGGAGTGGGGCTGCAGGGGTACTGAGCAGCGCAGGGCAGGAGAGCAAGATGCAGGCTGTCTGGGGAGCCTCCTGCCTGTGTTTATCCAAAGTGCTCTTTATTCACTGCCTCATTAAAACTGCCTGGCCAACCTGTGATGTCCTACTCCATTCCCCTGGCAGGGTCTTAATGTCCGTGGTTACAGGCCAGGGTGGATTCTGATAACTGTATTATTGTCCCCTCTTCACCAAAAGGTTCTACTCTAGTCATAAGCCACTACCTTGGAAATTAATGTCCATGCAACTAATATTGCAATAAGGAGGACTAAAATATCCATGCTCTCTTCCGAAGAAACTCACAGCCTCGCTACAGTTAGCTTTTACCAACTTCACACAATCTTTCTTACCCAAGATTGCACAATGAGCCACCCCATCCCCCTGTTGTTTCTTGGATGAAGAAAGCTTTGGAAATTGATACAAGAGAAACAAGATCAGGCCAAACCCAAGTCCCACACCACATCCTTTCACCGGGAAGAAGGGGAAAAAAAAAAAAAGAAAAAAAAAAAAAAAGGCAGCTTGTTTTCCCAGCAGTCTTGCTTGTCCTCAGCAATCCCAGACACTGGCAAGTCATCAAGGAGACAGTTGGCTAAAGTAGTGCTCCAAGGGTCAGTATAGTCAGGTCTGTGATTATATGCATTCTGGCCATTTCTTAAGTGTAATGAGCCTGTTCTGGTTGTCTTATTCTCATGGGTGGAACCGCTGAGCATAAGTCACAGTCCTAGGCTCTCGCCGGGTATGGAGAAATGAGCAGCGTATTACTTTGTGCTATGCTTTTCAGCAGACTGAACAATCAGCTGTGGGACCAGTACATTACATTTGACTGCAAGCCCCTTAATGTGCAGTAATTACATAAAAATATTGTAAAATTAATGACTTCTAATGCATCATTTAGAGCATTGGTGCTGAATGATAAGATTGTAAGTCACAGACATGAGAAATGGAAGATCCCCCTAAGGTCATCCAGCTTGTCTGTAGCTCAGGGCAAGGTTGCCCATGACAATACACCCGTCTAATTCTTTGGCAAGTTTTAAATGTGATTTTGCTCAGATGCCATGTTCTTTGAAAGGATTAACAACATTACGCTTGGTGTTAGCTATTTAATACATCTGTAAGAGCATCTTAATATATGATTAATGCAGGGTCTTGTGGACCACAAAGAGTAAGTTTCAAATGTGCTTAAGGGAAAAAAAATATTATCCAGTAAACAACAGTTAAAACAGAATTGGCTCAACAGAAGCGATGCTGAGAGTTTTGCAAATAAGTGATCTAGGTGCCCTCAGAAGAAATATTTTGGACCCCAACAAAAAAAAAAAAAAGCTTAAGAAAATGTGCTGCCTGCTTTGCTTGCAAGAACACTGCTGACTTGAGATTCGGGGAGGGGGGTTGGGAGGTGTTGCAGGGTTTTTAGGAAAGCAAAGACAAAAAACCAAAACCCTTTTGCACAAACAAGCCATGTAGCCTTAGCTCAGAGCCAGCAAGATGATCTGAGGAGATGAACTTAAAAGACATTGAATCATTAAATGAATTAATAAAAGAGTTTTGCCTAGTGAACAACATCAGTTTAAAAAATCACTTGGTGTACTAGCATATATAGGAGGAAAACTAGTAAGTAGTTCATTCCAGTATGGCAAACAAAGGAAACTTCATTTGGTTTTGTATGTGTCCAGTTTCTGTTGTGATGCCGTAAGAGAAGGATGACAGAAATGCAAAGGATTTTGAAAGATGCAGGCTACAAAAATGTTGTAAGGTGTTGATAAAAGAGGCTGAGAAAATTAGCAGTTTCTAGCTAGCACTCGGGTATTAGTCTTATTCCAGAGCAAGGTGACACTTTTTAAAATTTAAAAAAATGGTAAATTTAGAAATAATAAAAATAAACAGCATTGTCAAGTGCATTTCCTGGGGAAATTATGAAGACAAATAGCACAGCTTCATTTCTAAGACTGTGGATAATTTTATAGTTGATAATACAATTTGAATACAAAGTCAAATCTTATTCTCTAGGCTATAAGTGAAGTGTCTGCAGGGTTTATAAGCCAAGCCATCCCGTTATTGCACCTGTATTTGGGGGCAGCAAGGGCACAGGAGGCTGAAGCATCAGAGCACCAGCCGTCTGATCCGGTATGGCAAGTGCTCTGTTCTGAAAGAGCTGGGAGGAGTCGTGTCCCCAACATCTGGTGTCCGGAGGCTGTATTGCAGACCCAGGGAGCAGAAGAGGCAGTTGCCAAGGAAAGGCATAAGCAGGATTTAAAGGTGTGTCGAGCAGGCTTTTCACGTAACTACCCTGGTTTGTCGTCCTCTTCCCTTTGTCCAGGGGAGTTTATCAAGGCTTTGTATGAGTCAGATGAAAACTGTGAAGTGGATCCCAGCAAATGTTCATCCAGTGAATTAACAGATCATCAGAGCAACCTGAAAATGTGTTGTGAGCTGGCCTTCTGCAAGATTATCAATTCTTACTGGTGAGGCATCTCCCCTCCCCTTCTTCCCCCATTAGGTCACTGGCTTAGAGGGTGCCCATTCCTCCTCTGAAGATGAGAAAACAGCAGTTGTACAGGGAAATAGCACAGACCCATCCATCTTCTGAGACTGCCTTAGTTTCCTTTCCTCACTACCTTCCTACGTGTGACACCATATTGCAGGTGGAACTTGTGCCCAAATTGAGGGGTTCCAGTCCCACACACCATACCTGACAGGAGCATCTGCTGAAATACTCTGCCAAGGGAACACATACTGAGCTGTGACTAAATGAAGAGGGAATAAAGTGAGAAGATAACAGCATAGCTTGAACTTGGAATAAAAAGCTGAAAGTTTTGACGTGTATAGAAAACTTTCAGACCCTTTAGATCTGTAGAATTGAACAGGAAATCACAGTGAGGAAACATTGGCAGAGAGATTTCTATTAATCTCTGTTTCTGAGTAGTAGTGAAAGAAGAATGGCCTTTCTGCTTCAGGATGAAGCACATGCAAAATATTGAGAGGGCTTAACAAGCAAATAAAAATTTCACTTATGGAGATTATTTCAGCTTGCTTCAGTTTGTTTTTAATATTCTAACACCCTGTTTGCTCCAGGGTAGGGATGGATAAGTAGTTCTTAGCTTGCAAATCAGCGTGTCTGAAAATGGCTTCACTTAACATATATGAACAAGGGATGCTTTAAAGGCTACTTAAGTATAACCAGATTAAATGGGGATCTAAGAATAGATGCCTAATGACATTTCCTAGCCTAGGGAGAGAAAAGGGGAAAAAAAAAAAAAAAAGAGCTGATGATGTTTTCTCACAGATAATTATTTCATGTGATTGGTCACCAGTTCAACTTGGTGCATCTCATTGCCTGTGCGATTTTATTTCCTGGTTTATTGTTTTTCAGCGTGTTCCCTCGTGAGCTGAAGGAGGTGTTTGCATCTTGGAAGCAGCAGTGCCTGAGCAGGGGCAAGCAGGACATCAGTGAACGCCTGATCAGTGCCTCCCTCTTCCTCCGCTTCCTGTGCCCCGCTATCATGTCCCCCAGCCTCTTTAGCCTCATGCAGGAGTATCCCGATGACCGGACATCTCGCACACTCACACTTATTGCTAAAGTCATTCAGAATCTCGCCAATTTTGCTAAGTAGGTGGTGGCAATAAAACTGAAATCTGTGCCTCTAGGGGTGCAAGTCACTGCAGGTTACTATGGAGCAGAGAGAGCCCTGCTTGGTAGTCATGTGTGCAGGCAGCTGATTCTCTGTCAAATTGAAATCAGCTTTAGAAAAGGAGGAAACTTCTCACTTATATGTGAACGCTGTTCCCCTTGAGACACCTCAGCGCTGAGCTAGATAAATTCTCCTTTTCACATGCAGATTTGGGCTGCGTTGAATTCAGTAGAGGGGACACAGTATAAAACCAAGAAGAGCCATGCATTAGCATGTCAGTGTGTATGCTATTTCAAAAGAAGAAACGCCTGTTCCCACCAAGGATCATGATTTTCCTCCTTTCTTCCTGGAAAATTCCCAGCTGAATGATACAAAGGGCATGGGGAGAAGAGAAAGGGTGTCTGTGGGAGGGAGGGGGGGAGAGATGTGTTGAGCCCTTGATCATAATACAAACAGTGAATTACTAGTATTTAAATAAGTCCAAGAAAGCAGTGAATCTCTTAAATTATCCATTTTTATTTTTTTTTCCTCCCCGACCAAATCTTCAGAAAGGCAGGTCTAAAGTTAAGCATTTAAGTAATTGTCTGGAAGCACTTGTACTCTGAATTTTATTTGGAGGTTATTGACTGGGTTTCCCCCCCTCCCCTTTCTTGCAGGTTTGGTAATAAGGAAGAGTATATGGCCTTCATGAATGACTTTTTGGAACATGAGTGGGGAGGAATGAAGCGTTTTCTCGTGGAGATCTCTAATCCAGATACCATCTCAAACATGCCTGGATTTGAAGGCTACATCGACCTGGGCAGAGAGCTCTCAGTTTTGCATTCCCTCTTATGGGAGGTTGTGTCCCAACTCGATAAGGTAAAGTAGGCTGGAGGCCCGGGAGGGCGAATCTGGTGATTGTATCGTAGCAACAGTAAACACTAGGAGACATCAAGGGAGCAGCTGAAGCTTGCTTTGGGGAGAACTTATTCAACAGCTTTTGAGAGGAATGTTTGATAGTGGTATTTCACAGTTGTTCTTTCCGTGATTTCAGATCAGGGCCTAAAGCGGGGCATGTGAAGTGGCTGGGCTTCAGCAGTAGTGCAAACAATTTGCAGAGCCTTAAGTAAGGATGGGTGTTAAATGGTGGAGAGAGCAGCGCTTAAAAGTAGACCTGGAATTCCCTGAGCAGCCAGCCTGTCCTTTCTCATAAGTGAGCTGGAAAAAAAGGGAGGGTGTTTGGACAGAAAATGAAAATGTTGCAGTGCCCTTTTTGATGCTAATGAAGGTGCTTTGCTGCACACCAGGCCCTACCCTGCCCAGCTCTGATTGAGTAATGTGTTGGCCAGGCAGAACTGTTCCCATTAAAGACCTGATCCAAAGCCTACTGAGATGTTCTCATTTCTGTAGTCTTTGGATTAGTTTTCAGTATATGTGTGAAAACCTGGATCCTCTCTCAGTTTTATCCTGCAACAAAATCAAAATGCTTTCTGCTGTCTATTATGCTGGGGTCATATGCATTGTCCAGATTCTGTTCTGCTGATCGCAGTAGACATGCCAACATAAGCATTGCTTCCATTTAGTTATAAAAGGAGAAAAGGCAGTAGTTTGCTTTTCCTTAGCTATGTAGCTTTGCAGGATCCAAAATCATTAAAACCTTGATAGCAAAGGTAGTTGATAAGACCCAGAAGGGCTGAGCTGTGAGTCATTAATTTTTGTTGCAAGTTCTTGGAGCTGTTCCATATTTCAACTTTTAGAGGTGCATTATTTTGTCCATACTCCATTTATATTATTCTTTCTTTCGAAACTGGAGAGGTGAGGTGAATTGCGATGCACTCTGAATATTTTTATTGCATTAAGGTTTGCCAAAATAGTTATTTGTTGGGTATCTGTTTTCTCACAGTACGTTATGTAAAATAGAAAACAAAAAACTGAGCTTGTTGCATCAGAGTAAAGTGAAATGTCCTTGACTCAAAAAGGCAATATATATTAATCTTAGATAATCTTAGTTTGATAACAATTTATGATCTTGTTTTTCCATTTCCCTCACACATGCACACAGTGTACATTCAAAATGTCGCAGGCAGCAAAGTCAGCTATAAAGATGGTTCAACAGCCTCAGGAAAACAGGCAAAGTTAGCACTCAAAAGACCAGATCCTGCATTTCTACAAATTGGGATAAACCCACCAGTGCAGGGAACCCTGCCATCTCCCTCCAGCTGGTCAGGCATTAGGTCAAGAGAAACCCAACTCCAGTCTTTAGAACTGCAAATGGATCATTGGACTTGGTGTTAGTTACTGTGAGCTGCTCTCTGAATGCAACGGTCGTGAATGTCTTGGGCAGCGAGGAAAGGGAGGAGCCAGACCCGGATAAACTGTCAGAGCAGATCTGCTTTGCCCTTTCTGTAGGTTAGACGCATGGATCTATCCTAACAGGCCCTTGGGAGCTGGTATAGTGGTTTGCTAAAAAGAGAACTAAGGGGTAAAGGTACATTGCAATACTGTTTTACTGTAGGTAACGATTGGGAAATCATGACAGAAGTCACCTCAGAGATTTTAATAGACACAGAAGAAGTGCTGTACGAAAGCGTCTGTTAAGAGACCTTTCTCTGGAGCCAAACTGACTGAATACCTGCTTACAGAAAAAATAAGGATAGCTTTGAAAAGAACATTGTCTTTGTAGCAGAGTTTTATTTTATTATAAACCTCTAGCACTTTCACCTTCTTCCTGCAGTCTCAAAAGGCTGAAGATGCCCTGTAGATGATATAACCAGCAGTGACCCAAAGAGGGGAGAAAGATAAAGAGCCTGAACAAGCAGCCTTCCTTGCTGGAAGGTCAGCTGCTCTTACCCTAGGCCCAGCCAACACTGAGCTAACACGTAATTGAACAAGCAGCTACACACTTAATCCCAGGCTGATGTGATAATGTTGGGATCATTGATGTTTTCATGCAGTTATTTTTCACTTTTAAGTAGAGAAGAACACCTTAGGTTTTGGTAGCAGGGTGCTACAGAAGATGGCATCAGCGTAGGGTGCCAAAAGCGAAAGGCTTATGAAATGAAAACCTTCCCTTTCCCCATCTCCCTCAACCCTTGCGATTCTCTCATGATCCCCCTGAATGCCGCATCCCCTTGTCTGTTGGCATGCATTTCCTTTACCACATGACACCCTTTGCCTGGAAAGTTTCCCCCCACTAGCTGAATCTGTAGTCTTTGAATGCCCTTTAATGAGTAGATACCATAGTTTTCACTTTGACCTCACCCACCCTGGACTTAGTTTGCTTTGCATGATAGTTTTGCATTGGAATGGCAATAGTTTTGTTTTATTGAGCATGATTTTTATTTTTTGGGGTCAATCCTAATTTCTTTTCTATTTCCTTTTCTTTCCTCAATGTCTGCTGCACCCCGTTTCGTCTCCTCCATCCATCTCGTCGCCGTGGTTACGCTGCTCCGTAACACTGCATTACGGTCCTGGCACACCCGCACACAACCACCCACCCTCCTTCCTTCCACCTCCACCCCTCCGCCTCTGTGCATCGTTATCAAAAAAACTGGCGGATGTCGCGGTGCTTGTTGTCCAATTAGGGTGAAAATTCCTTCCTACAGGCGACCGTGGCAAAACTGGGACCTCTTCCTCGTATTCTTGCCGATATCACCAAATCAATGACCAACCCTACACCGATACAGCAGCAGCTGAGGCGTTTCACTGAGCACAGCTCTAGTCCAAACGTCAGTGGCAGTCTCTCCTCAGGGCTTCAGAAGATATTTGAGGACCCCACTGATGGGTATGTAACAGCCAGAGCTCAAGGGAAGATGTGAGTAACGGGGTTGTTAAGCCTGTTAAGAGCTGAGTGCTTCATCACCTGAACCAGCTGCCCAGGCCAGCTGTAAGAGCAGGGAGCTTGGGCCTCTGTCACGGAGAATACGCAGGGCTCAGTAAGAGGGTGCACAAGCTGGCACGGGGGACCTGAAGCTTTTGACTTACCCAGGACTCAAACATGTCTCTAGCAGTCAGTGACTTCAGCTGCTAAAAAACAGTTTTGCAATTTACTGCCAGTCTGAGTGACCGGATGCATAGGCAGCCATAATGCTTCCTTCTGGTGACCGGGCCGCTTATTTACTGCTAATGGAAAAACCGGGCTGTAGGCGGAACTTGTTACCGGTGGAACAGCAAAAATAGTCCTTCCTCTGTTTAGTGCAAGCGTTTCTCACATTGTAATAGGTGTTAATCTGAAGCAAAAAGCTGTGGCATGGCAGAACTGCCAAAGAGCTTGGATACTGGGATCTCAGAGTAGTTTCTGTGCGGTCAGGTATGAGTGCCAGTTTTCTCACATGGAAGTGCCTGCCCTCTGAGCTTACATCTAGATCTACAGGAGCCTTCACACAACTCCTGTTGAATCTTCAGACCCCCACAATACATAATGCTGGCGAAGAGTTAAATGAATGCTCTGAAGTCTTGCTGGAGGCAAAGGTGTCTAAGGGGGAAGGATTTGGTGGGGATGGTTTGCATTTCACCTGTGAAAAAAATAAAGATGAAGCACTTCTTGAATCAAACGTAATTCTCAAAGATAAGTGGTAATTAAGGAAGAGTGTGCTCTGACTTGAATACAAAGAGCTCATAAAAGGAAATCTAGTTCCTTGAAGCTTTTGTATGAGGGGAGGAGGTTAAATGAGGTAGAAAGACTTCTTTGGGACAGATCTCTCAGGGTCTTGGCTGCTTAAAAATTAACCAAATTCCTTTCCGCTCCACAGTGACTCACATAAGCTGAAGTCTCCAACCCAGGAAAATGTAGATGGATATTTTAGGGGCAAGACCTTACTGTTGGTTCA